ACCAGAGCGGCGCTCACGGGCAGCAAGCTCGGCCGGCGGGTGAGGGACGCGCCCAGAAGGACGCACATGGCCGCAGGCCAGTCTGTGCCCCGCCGCAGCCCGCCCTCTGGAAGGAGTCACCCGAGCGAGCGCAGCCCCTGCGGGCTCCGCGCCCTTCGCCCGCTGTCCTTAGCGAGGCCGCGGCCGCCGGAGGAGGCGCCTAGAAGCCGCTGGGTGCCAGAGCCGGGGCCGTCTGGCAGGTTGCCGAAGCCTAGAGGGCCGCAATCTGGAAGCCAGTCGGCGGCCCCCAGGGCGACTCCACTTCTGAAGACCAAACTGCACAGCTTCACGTGTTTTATTTTTACAGGTTACGCACTTCACGTCTGTTCGGTAGGAAATCATGCAGACACACAGGGAATAATAGGTACGAGAGCATCCCAACTGGCAGACCCTGCTGTAAAACTGGCAATCAATCAATCAATCAATCAATAATGAAATATTAGCTCAGCAAGGCTTATCTGGGCTGGGAAACAAACGCTAGGAAACAGAAATATTTAAACAAGCATTTTAATGGAAAAAGTTGAGCGCGTCTGAAACAAACTAGGATCAAGTTTAGGTCCTACCATCTCTCTCTTTTTTTTCAACTTAAGTGAGCGCACTTGCTATGATTAACATAAAGAGGTTTGACATGTGTTTTTTTTTCTTACTCTCTGCATAAAGTTAAAAAAAAAAGACACAGCTGTAGAAACCAGGACTTTGATTCCCTGTAATATTTTCTGCAATGTGATTTCCCCATCACACATAGCAGGCCACATTTCTGGTGGTTTTAACTGAAAACACACATGGTTCTTATTTCGTACATCACAGATCAAAGAGACACCGCGGTAGCTTTGCTTTCCAAGGCATAAGCTGAGGCTAATTTCCTGTGAAGTGGAGTCCAGATCTAAGAGCTCAATTTAAGAAGGGGAGGTTCCGTCCTCACTGCCCCACCTCTTAAGGCCTGAAGCTGAGTGGTGAGGGCAAGCTCACATGCAGTGAGGGGAAAGTGATTTGGAAGGGGATTTGGAGGAGGCGCATGGGGCCGAAAGCCCTGGGAGGAGGAAGCCTGCTTGCATCCGAAACTTGCCTCAGAAACGTGGGGGACGTGGAAGGAGACACTTGGGAGAGACTGGGCCAGAGAACCATGAGGAGGCTGGCAATGGCAGCCTTTAACTTAGTTTATACTTTGATTTTGCTCTTTTCCCTCTGGACTTGCCTGCTCCTGCCACCCCTCTGCTGTGGGTCCCCACCAGAAGGTGCCTTACACTTCCGGTAAGCTTTCTGTCCTCACGGGCCCAAGTTGGTCCAACCCTTTTGGCTGGGTATTTACCCAGAAGGGGATAGATAATTTTGAACATTCCATTGGGAAACTACTATCATTTCTCTTCTCTCAGTTGCACACTAATCCTATTAAAGTTATTTTTTTATTGATAGAGTTGCACACTGGGAGTGTTGTCTTTATGGTGGGGGGTAGCAGAACTCTTTTAGAGCTTGTAGGCTTTGGGATCCTGGGGTACCCCTCCATCTGCCTGCGCTGCCACAAATGTTAAAAAATTCTAGCTCGCCAATGTCGCCCACTTTTTCAACCCAGCACTGTCTCCCAGTCTGCCATCTCTCGTGGATAGCAGTAGCCGAACATACTCTGAACTATAATATTGGATGCTGAACATTAAAGGAGAGAATTCTTCTCCTACCCACTGAAGTTCTTTCTGCTCTACACAGATGCAACAAACACAGGTTCAAGTTGCTGAAAACAAACAATTAGAAATCAAATCAAAGCCTGTTTGGCTTCACAATTGAAAACTGAGATGCAATAGGAATCGTAACAATGCAAAGTAATAGCCTGCCGAATTCAATGAATGCAGCTTAATAACTTTGGACCATAGCAACACTTGGGTAAAATTAAAAAGTAATGTCAAGCTCCTTGGGTCTGTTCCACGGAATTAGTATTCACAGGCATGTGCCCGCACGCCACCAGTAATGAGGACTGCTGGTTTCATTTACAGACACTGCCGACATTAGCTGGCACCAATGTGTAGAAACCTATTGTATGCTGGTCTATAAAAGCACACCAAATTTTCATTATGTTTCAGTCAAAAGTGCTTGTTTTGCAGGATGGAGTCCATGTCAATAAAATGGATTGTTTGTCACTTAAACCAAGTGACATGCTAATCTTCTAGAGGCCTCTGTCCTTAATCTCTACAGGACACAAGTCAGTTTAGAAGTGTGAGCTGTTCTCACAGGTAGTGGCTATTGAGCTCTTTAATGTAAATTCAAAAGCACAGCTTATCAGTGTGTTTCAGAAATTGCTTCAATGCGGTTGCTGTCTATGAAAAAAAAAAAAAATCCTCCAACTTCCCCCAAGTCCATGGTCAACTTCCAAGTTTTTTCAGTGCCTGAGACACCTTTTAATTATAAAGAAATCGGTTTTGGTGATAGCTGTCCTGTGACCAATTGGATCAGAAGACTTTCCGCTGGCTAGTATGCAGCTACCCTGCCCACTGCGGGTGTCGTTAGGCAGGACCTTGATATTAATTAAGTCAACGTCTCAATTCAGAACCTCAAGACAGGATGTCTACATTCTTTAAAAGTCAAGTCATAAATATCCACTTCGTAACAAAAGGGCAAAATGATGGGATGGGGATCAAGAATTCTTTGGTTTAGAGAGAGTTGCAAAGCGTATGGAAAATGACTTGCAGCACCTTTCTCATATTTTTAAATTATATGTATTATTTCACAGGAAAGCAGGAACGCTCAGAAACAACCTACACATTTTCTCTTCCATCTAAAGGCTAAATCGAATTACAGTGAAATCTTTAAAACATGAAATTAAATGGGAGTCTCCATACTTTAACCTTTATCTTTTATTTTCTAAATACCAAGAAGTGTACATTTTCTGCTTACTTGTTCTAAATAGAATAAAACGCAATTATTATGGTAACTAATGCTCTCCAACCTAATGTAATACTATCCACAAAAGAATAAGGTATTCAGATCCATTATTTTGTCTGTATGAAATGAAACTCCAGTGATAAATACAAACATGAAATTTTGAAGCCAAATTACAATAATCACATAAAAAGATATCAACAACAAAATAAAATACCCAAATATTCCATCACCTCTGAGATCTAAATAATAGAAAATAAGTTATGGAAAAAGAGACATGTTTGCTTAAAGGAACAGTGTTTTTAAAGCAGAATATTAAAAAGTTTTTTTTTTTTCATTTAAGTTTATTTTTCAAAAGTTTGTACAAAGTATACTTTCTTTCTCTGGAGAAGAAAACGTGCAAAATAAAATTTTATTTTGAATGGTTTCATGTTTGTCACTGACTTGCATTAGTATTATAAATATCATTTTTCTTACTTATTTACTTATTTGAGGAGTTACTTACTTGTTTAGGAGGATAAAGCAGTCACATCTGTCTCTTTAATATACCTTCCATATAAGCTTAAGTTTTTCTCACATTCTTAGATAAACAATGAATAGTTTGTTGAATAACCCAAGAATAGTTTTGGGCTCTGGTTAATGAAAACTTACATTTACAGCAATAAATCAGTTCACTGGTAGCAATAAAAAGTGGCTGATTTTATATCACTGTAAAGAAATGTCCAGGTAGCATTCTGGAACCTTTGACGAAGATTAGTAATACCAGATGCACAAGTGTATCTTAGCAACATACATAGGATGGAAGTTTCTTAAATGATTTTTGGAAATAATATCACATATTGTGAATGAAGCTGATTTTGCCACTGTTCAACACTTAAGAAATATTTCAACATATAGGCCATTATGTCTTCATGATATACAAATATAAATGCATATAAGCATATAACCCTCTGTATAAGTATGTACAGAATGTTATTAGCTCTGACCACTGTGCACAGAGAAGGTGTCAGAGAAGTGCTTGCAGTATCTTAAAGAGAAAATGAAAAATCCCAAGAGTTACCCTTGATATAAATTCAACACTTAATATCCAAGGATCTCTGGTACAAGTGTTAGCAGGCAGGTGTCACTTATTTAATGTTTGCTAATAAAGGACAATAAGGCATTTTTGAGCCTGTGAAGCTGTGTGTGTGTGTGCACAGGTGTTCTGCTTTTCCTGGCTCCTCCATGATTGTCAAGGGTTCCATGTATCCGGTTAGCCCAAGCGTGGGCGTTTAATGAAGAAACCTGAAGCATCTGAATCTTGGTTCCGAAGAGTTGACTTCTCAAATCAATTTATTACCCAGAGTACATCAAGAGTGCACTGGAGAGTCAGTGTTGCCCTAATACCTAAACTCAAAGGAAAGCATGGGGTTGGACTCCTGTCTGCTACTATATCTAGCAGTCAAGGCCACACCAAGTAGCCATGCTGTATGACTATATTACAAAAGCATGGACAGAAGCTCATCCAGGGATATTGCCTGATATTTGTGATTAATGACTTATATCATAGATGAAACATATGATTGATTTTGGTTTAACAGACTATATGTGAGAAGCCATCTTGCAGAACTCTGGAGTAATACATTTTCTAAGAATGAACTCTTACTAAGTGATCTCTTAATATTTTATCTAATAATTAATCTTACATATTTATTTCCTAATTCAGTGTCAGTTTCAACATTTTTAGATAAATATATATGTAGAAAATTTGGAATCAGTTTACTGTAACACTGAGGGAAATTATGTAGAATAAAAATAGCCAATATTGAAATTCGGAGAGTTTTACTTTTATCACTTTAACCTAAAGCATGCCAGTTTTCTTTCTATGCCTCCAAGTTATACAAAGTATAAAACTTTAGTTGGTTTAACAGAATATAAGATGAGGTGATTTTTATATATAAAAAAATATATATCCACAAAGGAAAGCAGAGTCTATTCCCCAGACCATCCCTGAGGTCAGGTAAAGAGAACCTGAGCAGAAGAAACTTTTGCCTGCTGATGTGGTAGGAATTTATTTGCCCTGTAAGTGCTGAAAAAAAATGACACTGTCACAACAGACAGAGAGAATAATTATTTCTTCCTTTACAGGTGCAGAAAGTGAACTAATGTACTTGACTTATTT